CCATCAACATGCAGCAGGTTGCCTCCCATGAAACTCATAATTTTTTTCGATGCTACGGAATTATGACGATTAATTAAAGCTATCGATTCAAAAAGAATGTGGTGTTCGCAGCGTGCATCTCGCACTAGAGAGACGAGAAATAGTTTACAATTTTGAAGGTAACTCAAAATGCAACAATTACTGAACTATTTAATTTTGTCGAAACATTTCTCGATATAACTTTGCTTTGCTCTCCACATCCTGTGCATTTGTGATGAGCGTCATTACATAAATGAAGAAACATTTTAACCTGTATATTCCATATCTGTTTCGGTTAGTTTTCAAACAAATTATGTGTGCATTTCTTGTCTCCTCTGCAATGATTCAAGGCATCCCTTCCTAAAAGTCTATAAGGTCCACATTGAACTGTTTATCAGGTATCAAATCACCCTTACGTGATGGAAAATGAGGGGTGCAGACCATTGATCTCGGAGACGCTCGCGTTTCTTCACGACTCAGAAATGATGACAAAGAAAAAAGACAAGGAATTCGTGACACCAAGATTTGCCTACCCACGAATCCCACAGGACATTCTTTTTGCTATTGGTGGGTTTCACAACGGAATCCCGTCAGATGTGATCGAAGCGTACGACGTACGAGCAAACCGGTGGAGTGTGGTGAGTTGAACGCATTTCTACTCTTACCGTGACCTGTTAAATGACGCCCCGAGAAATACTACTTTTCCTACATTTTGCTTATTTTTACTAAGTAATTGTTTATTTGGGTTTAATCACAAGTACTTCTTTTCCTATTTTTCGTTTTCATTTATTTCCATTGCAGTGAACCCTTTTTTAAGAGAAGCTTCAAATACATGAATAAATAAATTAAATGCTGATTCTCATGTAAAATGTAAATTCTAATAGGAATCCACGAAGAATATGAAGTTTTCCTTAAATACCATTTACAATAAGCGTCCTACGTCATCTGTCATGGTAACCTGTCTGCTGATTTTAGACATGAAACGAAATCATCTTTGATCGTCAGTGTGGATTTCAATGCAATAAATGAGGTACTGATCATTGTTGATGTTGGCCATCTGCGTGGTAACGCCTCGTGAATTAGGAGGCACACTGTTTGGGGTGGGGTGGGGGACATACCGCCTCCAGCTTTGCGTCGATAAAACCCAAAACACCAACATCTGTCTCTACCATCGTACGAACCTGATATGTCAGCTGTTGATCAGAAATTAATTCTACATTTGTCTGTCCAACTTCCAGAGGGCACTGGTAATGTTGTTCGTGTTTCCTCAGTCTCTCTTAATTCCACGATTGCTCCAAGTTAATTTCTCATGGTCTTTGTCGAGTGCCACCCACCACGGTGTAGCAATTTCGGTCCACTGTTGGGGGTTGCACCTCTGCTCCGGTGGTTGTTCGCTTGGACTCTAATGTATGGACTTGACATCAGTAGACCAAGTGACCCAAAGAAACATAAAGCCATAACCTGTCGTTCTTGCAGGTGGAGGGGTTCGACTCGATCGGTCGGCGAGCCCACCATGGCACGGCTGTAGTCGGTTTCGATATTTACGTCATCGGTGGTGAAGAAGGCTCTAAAGATTTAAGATCATGTCTCTGCTTCAACGCTGTTAAGAAGACATGCCGCGAGGTGGCGCCTATGCATGAATGCAGGTAAGATGCAGCTTGGTAACTAAGGAACTCCTTCGAACAGAGTCCTTCTTCAAAAGCTGATAGTCTCTCCGTTAATCAAGATATAAATGTGGGCAGGGGATGTAAAATTGTACCACTCACATACAGGAGGACATATGCGACAATGTTGGTCCTTAGTCAAACACGAATAGAAGCCAATCACAGACTTTGATCGTAATTTCTCCAGGTTTTAAGAATATGATTTGCATGTTAATTTATTTGAACTATGATTTAACAATGACGAACCAAAAATTGAGTCGTGCTAGAGGAAATGCTTTTGAATCAGCAAAAAGTGAGCTTAACAGAGCGTGTAATTTCTTCGTTTCAGATCGAAGTTAATGGTGGCAGTTCTGCGAGGTGCAGTGTACGCGATGGGCGCTGAAGCTGAAGGTAAGAATCAGAGATCGGCTGAAAGATATGACCCCAAGGCGAACCAGTGGTCTTGGATCGCTCCCATGAACAAAGGGCGACGCGGTGCAAGTGCGGCTGTGCTGAATGGTACGTAAATCCTATGAAACAGAAATGTGTGAATTAGTGCAGAAGGCAAGGCGTCTGTCTGTCTGTCCGCGTGTAACAACGTAAGAACTGTTGAAGTAATTGCAGGATTTGAGGTTCTCATGGTGGCATGTACGAAGATGGCTGTCGTTTGGCTTCTGCCGACTTTTCAGACGAACTTTTTTCCTTCGTCATCAAGTCATTCCTCTTCGCTCTTGAACTTAGTTTCCCTCACTCCATTGTCCCATATTGTTTTATTATCACTTACTTTTATCCGTGCTACGTACTACGTTATTTCACAGACTGCAACGGCTATCAAACGGGCTTTCATATAATACAGATGTATAATGTTTT